AGCGCGGCGCCGCCCCCGTCACCGTCGACGAGAAGAACTTCCCCACCCTCGGTGCCAAATAAACCTGTCCAGCACTTGACGGTTGCCCGGACGAGGGGAAATGGTTTGGTTTCACTGGCCTAAGAGAATGTCGACCTGATGCCCCCTTTCAACTCTCCGAGAGTCTGATGCGATTATGGAAATTGGCGGGAACGAGCAAACAAAGCAACTCAAAAAAAGGAAATCTCACCGTCCTCGCGGTTTTCGTTTCCATCTCTGAAAATGGCCTATGTAATTTGATTTGAGTGTCAAAAAATAGGAAATTGACAAAACCAACTTAAAAAATATCTTAGGTTCTCTTGTAAATCATAGGTAACGTCGGTCCTTACTCTAGTCCCTTTGTAAAGGATGTGCCTACATGAACAATGATCCTCACGCTGGTACTACTCGAACTGCATATATATACGCCAACTATGAACGCAATAACAAAGGTACCCGGGACATATCCAAACGAGCACCATAGCTAACAGCCCCCAATTTGGAAGCCACTGCAGTTTTATTTTACAGCTCCCCATTCTCGGACCCATACCCCCAACGATCAGACGGCGTCTGCAATCCCTCCACCGCTCTGACAGCAGCAGCCGTCCACTCTCGCAGCGTCTCTCTATCGGACTCATCATCGAGGAACGCCAGCCCGTCCATCGCCCGCCCACTACAAGCACGCTGCAGCGCCAAGAACGCAAAATGGCCGCCTACGACCGGCCGCGCGAAGAAGTTCGGGCCAGGGAACTCGCCTCGCCCCTCTGTATTGTGGAGATCCGTGAACGGCCGGTCGGTGACGGTCTCGTTGACCCATTTGGCGACGGACTCGAGGATCTCGCTGCGCGTGCGCTCGCTGGCGACCGCCATGGCGAAGAACTCCCAGTCTGTCTTTGTGTAGAGGTGACGGCTGTCCAGCGGGAGGCCGTATTTCTGGCGCACGTAGTGGTACCAGATTGATTGTTTCTGGTAGATGTGGTGGGGCACGAAGCCCGTTTTGGACGGTTTCTTGCTGTCAAGCGGGGTTTGGGCTTTCAGGAGGGAGGCCGGGAAGGAGTCGGTGCCTTCCAGATGGAAGCAGAGCTGTGCGTCGGCGTATAGGTTGTAGATGGTGGTCCAGGAGCCGTACCAGTCGTAGGCGAGCTTCGCGTGGGTTCCATCGCGGGACATGCCGAGTTGCTCCCATTTGGCGATGTAGGTGTCCGAGATGTTCTGCGGTTGTTAGCGCTGGCTGGAGGTTTAAGGGAATAGGCGTATTACCTTGAAGTATGCTGCATCGGTATCGTGGCCGGCTACTTCAGCCAGCTTGCTCATGGCATTGATGCCGATGATGCCTTTCAGTGCCAGGTTGGTCTGCAGCGCAAGCCATCCGGCGAAATCATCCGTGGAGACTATTCAGATCAGCTTTAGCGCTTGAGGAAAGGTACAGAAATGGTCTTACGTTGGTTGGCAGGTTCCAGGGAGTATTCCACCAAGTAACCCGTCCATTGAGTCCAGAGCCTGTAGCTGCGCTGAACCCATTTCTCGGCGAGACGCTCGCCTTCTGCTCCACCGCCCCATTTGCCGTCCTGTTTGTCAATTCCGGACAAGGCCTGCAGCTCACCTAGAGGGAAGTATCCAGTGTGTGGTTCTGAGACTTTGGGGGGAACACCGTGTGTGGACCAGATCGAAGAAGCCGCCGAATCATCGGTATACCGGAGCGAGTTCACAATTGCTAGGCCCATGATGAGAATGTTGCCGCACTCCTCTACCGGCATGTACTCATCACGACCGTCCGGGTGACCAGTCGCATTGGGGAAATGGGCCCCGAGATCGTGCATAGCGTACGTGTTGGGGTACTGTCCACTGAGCATGTGCTCGATTAATGGCTCGAGCAGGTAGGCCAGCCAGCGAGGGTTCGTGTACAAGAAGAAGGGGAACGATGGGAAGATGACATCAATGGTCTGGAAATTGCCGTTGGAGGAGATCTCCTTCAAGAACAGGATTGGGTCATCGGGGGTTCCAGAGAATGTCGTTGCTCCCATAACCTGTCTGGCAGAAAGTGCGACAATGTCCATATAGTCATACGCCCCGGATTGGTAAGCATCCTTTGCCAATTGATCAGAGTAATCGGAAGCGAGGGTGGCTGCATGGGTAAAGTCATTGTAGTGGAAGCTCAGCACCTCTTCGGGATCCATGAACCATGATCGCCAGAGTGGTCTCATAAGAGTCAGGCCGCGAGCAGAAGCAAATTGGACGACTGGATCCTGAATCAAAGCAATGCTGAACGTTACACTGCTCTGCGTGTCATTTACCCTGGTATCAGGTTTGAAAGACTTGGAGAATGCGAATACAGGCTCGCGATCTCCTATGGCACGGAAACCATCGTCATTCACGTTCTGGACGGCTCCATTCGTCGCGAAAATGTTGCGGACAGTGTGAGCATCGCCAGAGTGATATTGGACATCCTAGGCTGCCAGTTAATAATCCTGTCAAAGACGAGTGGGATGAAGCATAGATTACTGACAGCAGGTCCAGTAAAGTGGAGGGTGCCCCATTCGGCCCGATCACGAATTTCTGAGAGAAGGAGCTCGTTCTGTCTCCGAAATTGCCATTTCTGAAGGGTTGGCGTCTTCCCTTTAAAACCGAAGGTGTCATGCTGCCAGACAATTTGACTCCCTGCATCTCCGCTCACCCAACGCCCATTAAGGTCCATGTAGACGTTGACAGGCACATCACCGTGGACATAGACCGTAATGTAGGACGCAGGAATCGACTGCCGCAGGGTCGATGTCGGGGTAATGGGAGACAAGAAAGAAACCGTAATTGCGACTGGACCAGCCGCAGAAGAGGCAGCCGAATCAATGCGGTAGGTCAGGTTGGTTGTCGAAGCATCGTACTGGGCGCCTAGATACACCGGATACTCGACGGGAGCTCTGATGTAAAATCCGTCAGATTGAGACGCATTATTAGGTTTTATTTGATGTGGACCACAGATACAATATCACCATACCCGGATACAAAATCATGAGGCTTGCCCAGCAGCGGATATACAGTGCCGGTACTAGGGATCTGGGCCATCAAAGAGAGCCCAAGCTCTTCCCCTGTATAGAACATGGGCCATTTGGACCAAGGCACCTTTCGAGCATCCCCCAACCAAGTGCTCAGGTAAGGATTTCGCACTGTCAAAGGCAGAACTGGAGGTGTGAGGGTTGATGCTACACCGACAGCCGCCTGGGCAACAGCGGCTGCCAGCACCGCAAGGGATGAGCGCATTGCGTTGGTGTACAGCAGAGTGTGTAACTCGGAATCAGTTTACAATCAGATCCGCATGCAGAGAAAGGTGATACACGCGACAAGAATAGAGAGCAGTGTAACGGGAGGGAAATGGGTTTAAGAGAGAGGTTCGGGCGGTCTGTTCGAAGGCTGACTGACGATCAGTGTTGAAACAGGCAGATTGACTCAACTCCACATCGACGGACGATGCAATTCGTCCGGTTGGTGGATAGAGGACCACTGGAGACGCAATGATCGACTGAGAGGGATTCAGTCCGGTCAGTCCAGTCAGTCTTGGATGATGGAGTGGCGATGCAGCACAACAAACCACAGAAGCAGTGAGTTCCCTCGCGAGGAATGCGGGGAAAGCTCGGGATACTGTAGAGGAGGAGCCTAGGAGGATCAGATGATGTCGACTGGGGAAATAAGCCAGCCTGTGGTCGGCGTCTCGCTGGTGAGTGCTGAGACACTAAGCCCCAACTCGAACAAGGTTTATGTACCACTATATGTTATCAGATGGATTCGAGTTGCGAGAGATGATTGAAGGTATTCAGATCACTGAGCCAAGGAGATGATGTCATGCCGAGATGTTTTTCAGCACCGTTAGAGCTTCTCGGTGATCAAGAACAGAACGATTATGTATTTTGAATGGTAGATATTATAAAAGATAGAAGGATCAAGGGATGTAGGTAGTCTGTGTCGATAATCCACGCACCTCTTCGAATCCTGGATTTTCATATGGTTGTGGAGGGATATATATATATATACATACATCAACACTACATCGATCATCCACTAGGCCAGAATACGATGTTCTTAACAACAGGCGCAAAGCTAGTTGCAACAAGACAATTATCAAGTATTTTAGTATTTCACTGAAACATTGAAATGGTGGAACAGAGAATTAATCGAGGTGTATCTCTTGACACCTCAGGCACATGCTCCTGATGAAGGACGAAGCATGGATCAGAAATGAAAGTCATATTTCCTTGGATTAATCTGAAGTTGGGCGATCTACACTAAACCTCTGATTCCCTAGCATAGGGACAATCGTATGAGAAGTCATGGTAGATACCTCTCTTGATCTCTCATCAACGTGATTGTTATACTTCATCGTCCGGTACCCCAAGGTACCTGAGCTGTACCTGGACAAAGCACCAGAGATCTATTTCGGCCTAGGATCACCCTCAACCCAGCTTAATATTGAGTAAAATCGTTGCATTCAAGCTCGTCCTGAATCCACTCCATGACTCCAGATTTATTCAACCACTCACTCCGTTCAATTGACTCTTATCACGACGCGTGGAGAGACGCGGGCGACATTTCAGAGTGGGCCTGGTCACGGCGGAGGTACCATTGAATACTGCGTGGGTACAACCAACCACCACAACTAGTACTGCTAAGGTACTTTTACGCCGTACTATACAGCAGCCACTGCACACGCGCATCTCCAACGCGCTGTTTTCTTTACCTACTTCTCTCCACCACCTGCTTTTCTTTGGGGAGGAGTTTGGATTCTCAATTGGACTTTCTCTTCCTTCCTCTGTATACATTCCTCGCCTATCTGACTCGGGTTGAAACATTCCTGGCCCCAGAATAGCTCGCGTGGTGATCGTCCTCTACTTCTGTCCCACACCTATACTTTGAATGTTGCCGTCGCAATTGTACCTCTCTCACCACGTCTCACTCTTTAACTCCTCCCTCGTCTTTCACTAAAGCTCATTGCAATGCAATCTACGTCAAACCTCAGTCCCGTCAAGGACGGTAGACGCATCCTTGGCGACAAGACACCCAACGCGTGTCTGTCTCCCGCACGCAGTAAACACCTGGATGTCGTCTCAGACATTTCACCGGTTAAACGCTCTCTCTATGAGAACCACTCTCCCAAGAAACTGCTTCCTTCACCGTCGTTTGTGGGCCAGAAGCGTACGATCGACCAAGTGGAGGATGACTCCCGAATAAACAAACAGAACGTGCAGGTCCAACGTGTCGAACAGGTGCAGGGAAACCATGAACGCAACCTGCAGGATAAAGGCATCACTCAGACCACAGGTCCAAAATGTGATCAGGTACGCTCATCGATCCATATTTAAACTCTAGGACTGGCGACTTGGTACTAAAATTGCCTTCATAACAGCAGCCATCGGACGCGATGCCCTCAAATGATACCCAGTCTACAGAGCCACAACAATCCCTTCAACAAACACGCCGACTCCCTCTCAGCGACATTGTAAATTTAATCGACACTCCAAGCCCAAAGCAAACGCCCAAGACCAATACACGGACAATTCCAGAAGACCCCCAAACCCGCAAGTTGTTTATCCAGGAGGTAAGGCACCGCGTCCAAACCTGTTCCCCAACCTCTATCTAACAAATACCCAACAGAAAGCAAATCTACTGCGCAGCCGGATACGGAGCGCAATGCGCCACGTCCGAGACCACCAGTTCGATCGCAGATTATCAGAGCTGGAAGCTCACAGCCGCAAATACCCCCGACTATCACTGCCCGCCTTGAGTCACCAGCACACCGATCCAGAGCGTGCATCCCGGCGCGACACAACGACAAAAGCATCAGCAGTATTAGCAGCAGCAGCACTCGCCTCAACATCACCGTCCAAGAAAACACCACCTAGTCTTGAACCCGCCCTAGACGTCGACCTCCAACCCACCCCGAAGAACTCATCCGACGCACCCGCTGGCCTCTCCTCCCCGCCTCTATCGGCCGGCACAACCGCCAACCAGGAGGATGCGGATTCACTGAGGACGCCAACCCAGAAGAGCTTCCACCGCCGGACCAATACGCTGGAGTCGCCTACAGCCATGCAGCTGAGTAGTCCCCCGGCCACGGTATCACGGAACGCAGGCAAGAGGACCATTGACATGACAGAGGAGGATCACGAGGACGACAAAACAGAGAAAATTACCACGCCGGCACACAAGGGTGATGCGGTCGATGGGCTTCTTCAGCTGATGAATACGTCCGATAAACGACGCCAGTCGGTCTCGGATACCCAAAGCGGATGATACGTCTTTTGCTGCTGATGCATGATGCATGATACATGTCTTGTATAGTACATAACGGACCCATAGCCCGGTGTGCTGCGTGCACTTTGACAGGTACAATGGATGAATGTTCGGATGGATAGTCGATATAGACATGTACGTCTGGGATTGAGATGCAGCTATGCTATGGTTATACATCAATACCATGTACCCTCGTGGCAGGTGCCCCACAATCGAACTAGCAGTATAAAAGAAAACCATGAATTGGCCAGAAAACTCGCTAAAAGATCTATTTGATGGATGCTATATTCATGACACTGAGACTACCGCACCTTTTTCAACTTGTTCCGTTTCCGTCCCAACACGTCCCGCCCCTCGTCAATCTCCCCCATGGCCTCTCGCTTCGCCTCGCCAACTTCCTTGAGGACTCCCGTTCGCACCACCCGACCCTCGATACTGACGCCCTCCTCGCTCCACTCCTCCATCTGCCGGCCGACTCGCTCCTCGATCGCCAGCACAAGCTGCACATCCCGCTGTCCGACCAGCGTGACGGCTTCACCGCTGCGGCCCGCACGCGCCGTACGACCGACACGGTGCACGTAGTCGTCCGGGTTGCGGGGCACATCGTAGTTGATGACCAGGCTGACGGTGGGGATGTCGAGACCACGCGAGGCGACGTCCGTGGCAACGAGGATGCGGGCCGCGGAGGCGCGGAAGCGGGCGAGGTTGGCGTTACGCTCGGACTGCGGCAGGAGACTGTGCAGGGAGGTGACGCGGTGGGCGAGGCGGCGGAGCATGCGCTCGAGCAGGTCGGCCGTCTTGGTGTGGTTGCAGAAGATGATGGCGGGTCTGGAGGCGTTGCCTTCGGTGGAGAGGAGGACGTGCAGGAAGGCTTCGCGGTGCGTCAGCGGCACCTTGAGGTAGGTCTGTTTGAGCGTGGGGGGGATGGTGCCCTCATTCTCCGTGGAGATCTCGGTAACGAAGACGGGCGGCTTGTTGGCGGATCGGGGCATGTTCTTCAGGGCGCGGACTTCGGGGGTTACTGTCGCGGTGAAGAGGAGAGTCTGCCGCTCGCTGGAGGGAGGCAGTGCGGAGAGGCACGTTTCGACGTCGGGGAGCATGCTGCCCGGCCCGCTGGCGAGTAGTCGATCGGCTTCGTCAAGAACGACCATGCGGACTCGCTTAAGGCCGCACACTGTATCTTCACCGGACGACTTGATGTGATCGGCCAACCGGCCGGGAGTTGCAATCACCACATGCGGTCTTCCCGCCAGAGCAATGGCCTGAGGTCGCATGTCCGTTCCGCCGGTGATGAGAACGGGCTTCATGCTCTGCGGAGCGGAGATGGCCTTGATCTGCTCGAATATCTGCAACGCAAGTTCTCTGCAAATGGCGACCCTATCAGCCTCGATCTATCTCTATCCCGTACCGTGGAGAAACATACCTCGTCGGAGTCAAGACAACCCCGAATATCCCAAACGGATCCTCCGCCCACTTCTGCAGCATCGGAACCGAGAACGCAATCGTCTTACCGGAACCAGTCCGGCTTCCACCGATACAGTCCCTCCCTTTGAGAATCTCAGGTATACACGCCTTCTGAATCGCCGTTGGCTTCCTCACAGCCATCGTCGTCAGCGACCCGACCAGCCACGGCGCGACATTCAACGCCGCAAACGAAGACGCTTCCTCCCGCAGTCCAATCTCCAACGCATCACGGATCAGCACTGGGTTATCTTGACCTGCTGGAGCTGCCGGTTTCGCATCTTGTGCTCCCTTCTTCTTGATACGGGAGAGGGTGGGGAGCGGCGCCGGCGCAACGTACGAGTCGTCAGAGTCGTTAGAGGATTCGGAGAGTCGTCTTCTTTTGGGAGCTCGGGTGAAAATTTCGGATTGCTCTACCTCAGAACCACTAGATGAATCATGTGTATCCTCAGATACCGGCTCTGAAGGAACTGGAGACGCCATTGTGCTTGCTGAATATCTTTTGCGACGCTGAAATTCTTCGAAATTCTTCGGCAAAAAAAGGTGACCGCGCAAAGGCGGTGTAATCTTCACGTGATGCCTCCACTTATATACAACCAAATGTCGTCCAATAGATTCATTCAGGTGTTTATGGATATAAGGGGTATTGTGTGCTTTTATTATCTCTCTTAAGTGCGAGTATATATACCAAAGATTAAATCAAACAATGGCACAGCCATGGCCCTCTCCTGACTCAATCCACCCTGCTCGTCGTACTTCTCCTCCGAACTGAAGACACTGGCTGCAATTCATAGGCCTCTCCTCTTTCCAAGTCGTCCTCAATAGGCGATTCCGAAGACGAGTCTCTCCGGATCATAACGCCTCCATCTGAGTCTGGCTTCCTCGAGCTCCTATTTGGATTATCCGCAGCCGAAGGCGCTGACAGTTCAACCTCGTCGTAACCATAAGTCCCGCCAACGCTTTCCATGGTAAACGGACTGGCCGTGGGGCCGTCAAGAATAGCGAGTTCTTCTTTTGTGAACCAATAAGGTAGCACAAATGAGGGCAGCGGAATGAGCAGCAGAATAATCACCGGGAATCCAATGGCTGCGATCGTCTGGGTGATGGCGAATGTGGCGCCAAAGCCGATCAGTTCAATAATAACAAACACCCAAATGGCGAGTCTGCGCTCGATTCGTTTCAAAGGATTTGATGGAGGAGTAAAGTCCTTGTCCTGAGCCAGGAAGACGAGTTTCTGCGTGATACCGTTGCCCTGGAGGGCTTGTACTCCCATGACGAAGAAAAGACCCGCCATGACGCCTTGAGGGATCAAATGCAGGACGATGAGGAGTGGGCCAGTCATGGTACCGAGGGTCAAGAGACCCTGAGCGAGATTACTGACTCGTTGCTCGACAACGTGGTCGGTGACGCGGATCGTTTTGCCTTTGTTGGTATCATCTTCATCGGCCACGTCGCGTGTAACGCAAAGTGCAGCTGTATGAAAAGGTGCCTGAGGGATCAGTCCATTGGGGAACGGGAGACCCAGAATTCCAGCTATAAAGGTGGTGAGACCTAGCAACCAGATATCCCAGTGGAAGCCGGCGGGTTTGCGTAGAGGGAACTCTGTTCCCTGCGCAATCAGTGATGACACTAAATAGTATGTCAGTCCACTACGTTCGATCGATAACCTTCAGAAAGTGAGAACCCACCATTGTGGTCGAAGTAGAACAGAATTGTCAGAAGAAGTGCAAATGGAATGGCAAGAAAGATGTCCCCAACACTGATATTCCAGAAATCCACGAGCCAGTCACGATTAGCGGTGGGAAAGAAGGCTTTGCTGGTGGGCAAGGTCGCAACTTCGACATCCCGCATATGGCCAATGTGGACGAATCCAGTGAAGAAAATGATAGTCAACGGCGTACCGTAATCTTCCAAAAATTTTCGGACATATCTCTGGAAGAGAGTGCTGTTGCCGAGCTCTCCGCAAATCCATCCACACATGAGCACAAGGAGGGCAACCATAATACTCAGGTAGGCGGAGGTCTCCCCAACCTGGCCCCATTGTCTGGTCAGGACCTGGATCCCTTTCTGCAGGTAGATAAAGGCCACGTAGAACCCAAAGATGTCACACGAAAAGCGGGTGACATAAGTGAGACCGTTGCAAGCGTTGGTGATGGCTAAGATCCAATGCATAATCAACGACCAGCTTTGACAGTCAGCACAAGTCAATCATCCAAGCAAAGAAGACCTACATCCCAATCCAACACATAAAAGCGAGGTAGGGAGTCCCACGCGGTGACACAATATCGTAAACAGTGTAATTAAACACCGTAATCGGACCTGCGCACACAGGTGAGCATCATCACAACTAACCACCAGAATCCGAACAAACCCACCAGTAACACCAACAATAACCAAAGGCTGCGCAGCAAAGACCGCGAAAACAACGGCCCCCAGAACAGAGGCAAGAAGAACCTCATTAACGCCATAACTTTGCTTCGTCTTCTCGAACATATCCAGCGAGAACGCCAGAGCAGGCAGAATACTGCACCAGTCAGTTTTTCCTGTCTACTCCGCAAAAGCCCAGACAGAAAACCTCAGAGCTCGTAAAGCACTCACTTGGCAAAATACATATAAACAGTAGCAGGAATAACGCGGTAATCCCACGCATCCGTCCAATCACTCCAGTAGAACGGCGCCCTCCGCTTAATATCCTTGATCATGCCGCGGAAGAGCCTTACACGCCACCACTTGCTCGTCCGCACAGACGACGCGCCAGTCTGCACCCTCGACACGCCCTCAGCACCATGTTGTCCTTGCGAGACACCGCCATGCTGATGCTGGGAGTGCTGGGAGTGCGATTGGCCACTTCCCCGTCGGGCGTGCTGCCAAGGATTCCGCTGGGATTGAGATGAGTGGACCGAACCATGCGAGGTTGTAGCGTGTAGATTTGACCTCGAGGGGACGGGGATCTCTTCACGAGCAGAAGTGTGCGAGGCTCGACGATTTCTCTGCATGCTGTACGGCGTACAGTTGTACAGTTGTAAACTTGTACCACGCTTTCCTGGCCAAGCAGAACTGTGCTGGCAGTGGAGTGAGATGGGGAGACCACGTCAACCGCTCTGCGGCTGCGGGAAATTCAGTGCCAGGAGGATATTTCAATCCAACTTAGGTCTTCGAAAATATTGAAGATTGGGAAGAAGCAATATGGATAAACAGATATCTGAGCCTGAGGCACCGGTTGTCTAGGCATGGCGGTCTAAGCGATGGACGCTATTCCATTTCCTTTACTGCTGACATCATTTGCAGTCCCCCAACATCTACACTACGACGCTGAATTCTACGGAAGGATCTCGAGCGAAACAATAAGTTGCATGGAAAATAAATTATAACACACTAGTGGCATCAATGTCAACGCGCATATTAGCTCTGAAACTACCAAAGGTCAATTTCCCCGCGCGCTTTGAAATATCACACTGCTCGACAAAGCAGGCGCGCTTATCGTGTTGCCGATACTTCTCACAATCTCAGTTTTCATGACGCGACGGGTATATTGCTAAATCATCCTTCGTGCTGCATAGTTGTCTATGCAGAAGGGGGAGGAGGTGGGGGCAGTTCACTCGGAGGCTATGCGGAAGTTAGCAATCTTGTTTAAATTTCAAGTTGGTCCAGGGGGAGAACATACAGGAGGCGGGGGTCCTTCACCAGGGGGAGGTGGTGGAGGGCTGCCAGAGCCATAGTACATAGAAGGCATGCCGGGCGGAGGTGGTGGAACACTCAGACCCGGAGGAGCACCCGGGGCGCCCATACCAGGCACAGCTGCGCCATAACCGGGATAAGCCCCATATCCATAAGCACTTGCTCCGCCGGGTGGTGGAGGCGGAGCTTGCTGTTGCCAAGGAGCAGCGCCACCAGCAGCAGCGGCAGCACCAGGGGCGCCGTAGCCACCTGCATGCGATCCGTATCCGTAATCGCCGCCACGGCTCTGCGCCGCCCACGGAGGTGCACTGCCCTGATCGCGGGATCCGTAGTCGTCGCGAGAGCGGTTGTCCCGCCCTCTCTGCTGCCAGGGAGCTACATCGCCGGGAGGAGGTCCGCGCTGCCATGGCTTCGCGTCACGATCATCGTAACCGTGATCGGGACCGGCCTCGATCCGGCGCGGAGGCTGGCCGTCCGGACCTGGAGCACCGCCAGACAATTCTTGCATAAGTTGCTGTGACAATTAGCATTTGTTTGGGAACAGAGAAAAAGACATCGAACTTACCTCCATCTCACGATCGACAGCATCCCCTTGCCCGATAGCTCTGCGGCCACCGCCATAACCGCCGCCATTCCGCCAGTCGGAACCTCTCTGGCGATCAGGACAATCGCGAGCCATATGGCCAGCATTGCCGCAGACGCGACAGATGATGTTGGCGGTAAAGTTACGCTGCTCGGGACAGTCGTACTTGCGATGTCCGATTTGGCCACCTGAGCGAGTTAGTATAAGCAATTCAACGAGGAGAGTAATCTGGAAACTTACAGTTCTGGCAAGCCTGGTTTTCATCATCACGGAGGGTACCGTTGAGAGCAGCCAACTCTCGCAACTGGTTTCTCTTGAGTTCGTTCTGGCCTTCGGGAATCGAGGCAGCCTGTCATCCGTCATTAGTGTCTGGATTCCGCGTTCCAAGGGAGGCATATAAACTTACTGTTTCAATAACATTGTGAACAAGCTTCTTGGCCTTGTTAACCTTCTCTTCGGTATCTGCCATAATCAGACAATGGAGGTCTTCTTCCTGGTTACTAGCGTGAGCCGCGTCAGATCGACCTTTTCCTTCTTTGACGGAGCCTTTGCCTCGAATGGCAATCTTGGCGCCAGATTCGGTCTCCATCTTCTTCAAGGTATTTCCACGAGGACCTATGAGTAAGCCAACTTTAAAAGGTAGCAAAGAGCTAAGTGTTAGTTCACTATGGTTATTCAAGGAGAGCAAAGCAATGAAAGCAAGATAGTCAAGTAGCAAGGGTTAGCAGGAAGCGAGCCTTTGACACATCATCCCAAGGCGATGTCTCACGGGCCCGACTCGAGCAGAGAGCCAAGAACGACACAATGCAGGAACGGTTAGGAGTTAGAGGGTTAGTTATCATACTGAAGTTAATCTCTGGATAGTCATTCACTGGAACATAGACCTTCTCCTGGGTCTTGGTTGGGCGCCTGTAGTCAGAGGGCGGGTGGTAGTTAGGAATGGTCTTCATGGCCTTCTCGACAAGCTTGTGGCGCTCGTCCTCGAGGCGCTTGCGGTAACGGTATTCTCTAGTGTTTACACGTCTGCCAAAGTTATCGTACTGCGGAGGCGGCGATGGGGATCTGCACAGAAATCGTTAGCTCAGGCGAGGAAGGAAAAAAGGAAAAGGGGGATGAAAACGAACCTATCACCATCCGCAGGGACAACATCGTTGATACGGAGCTTCTGACTGATCTCCTCAATACGAAGATGCAGTGTATAAGCCTCAAGCTGTTCATTGGTGAAGTTTGCCATGATCATCGTGGGCAAGCCCATGAGACCGGCAGCCTTGTTCTCCTGAGCATCACCCCAACGGTTGCGCTTCTTGCGCCTCTTCACACCGTCAGCAGGAGGGTCCGCTGTGAAAGAAGAAAGTTAGTAACTCGACTGAAAATGATACCAATGCGGCAAAGACGTACCTCGGACTGGGCTTCTGCCACGCTTGATCCCATTATCTCCACCGACAGATGCAGGCGTCGCGGTGCGACTCTCCTCCTCTGGGCCATCTTCACCTCCAAACCGCCGACGGCCTAAAGGGATGTTGTTGGAACCAGTGATTCCTTGATTGCGCCAGGCCATTTTGTCCTGGTGCTATAAGCTGCGATACAAGAGTTAATCTGCCTGGTAAGTAAGCACAGAGCTCTGTCCGGTACTGAAGTGAGAGCAAGAGCTATTAAATACTGTTGGGTTTGAACCAGATCTCAAGGGACGATGGTGGCAAGGTTTGACCATCACGTGATATATTGGAACTGGGGAGAGCCAATCACGTGGCTTACACTAGTGGTATCCATTGGATGCATATCCATAGATCTGCTCAGGCAGAATTGTCTGGTCGGAACGAGAGATCCAAAAAGGCATCAGAAGATATTGTCAATTAAAAGAGAAATTTGTTTCAATAAACATTTACATAATATCAACATGCCCGTAATCAATGCTTCGCCTTATCCGCATCCGACTTCATGCCCTGCTGAACCCACTGCCTAGTCTTGGCCGCCTCCTGTTCCATCCGCTCCTTATCCTTGAGCAGGTCCTTGATGGTATGCGGCGCAGGCACATGGCGGCCCTTCTCAACGCCCGGGCGCGCAGCCATGCGCTCCTCCCACGCCTTGAGATGCGGGAACTCATCGATATTCACGCCAGCCCAACCAGCGGCCGCCACCCAGCCCCAGTGCGAGATGTCCGCGATGGTAACGTGGTCGCCGACCAGATACCCGGACTTGGAGGTGGAAAGGTGCTTGTCGAGCACGCCGTAGAGACGGCGCGTCTCGTTGACGTACCGGTCCACACCGTACTGGATGTGCTCGGAGGCGTAGCGGACGAAATGGTTCGCCTGGCCCTGCATGGGTCCGACGCCGGCGTTCTGGAAGTAGAGCCAGCTGATTGTCTCGTAGTATTCGCGGGTGCCCTTGGGGTAGGAGATCTTGTGGTCCTTGTCGTACTGCTCGGCCAGGTAGGTGAGGATGCTGCCGGACTCGAAGAGCCGGATCTTCTGGCCGTCGGTGAAGGTGTCTGTTAGGGCGGGGATACGGCCATTGGGGTTGATTTCGAGGAACCAGCTGGTTGAGATTAGTATAGGCTCTGGCCAGAGTATCACTCCAATACGTACGGTTCCTTCTGGGTGTTCTTGGAGATGTCAATCTTCTCCACCTTGTATGGGAGTCTATCCAACAGTGTCAGCCAGAACACATCAACTAAGTATCGGGGCACCAGAGATAAAGGGAGAGAAAACATACCCCAACTCCTCCAGCGCAATGGAGATCTTGATCCCATTAGGAGTCTGCGTAGTATACAGCGTAATGTCAGGTCTATTCGCCATGGTGATTGTTGCAAACGGTCGTTTAAGAGTAGAGTGTGCACGGATCGATCCAATTCTCTGCAGAAACAAAAGCATGAACAGAATTCTGGTTCTCTTTCTGAAAACCTGTCCTTATCGCAATGGGGACCCCGGCCTTTTGAAGCTACCGGCCGCGTTGCTAATCGGCCCAATTACCCCACCGATTCCGCGGTTCGATGATTAATAGCTTTGACTTGATTATGATGCCATCCGCATTGTCCCGCCCCACCACGTTCGATTTCTAATCCAGGACAACAGTACTAAGCTAAGTTAGTGTGCTTGGATTTGGAGAAAAAGCTTTGGCGAATGAGGATGGTCTATGGCAGCATAGAGGGGTTCTCATATCATGTAACTCGTGTTTAATTGATTGCTCATACGGAGTAGAAGGGTATGGTTGGTTTGTCGATGTCAACTGTGCGGGGTTTTCAGTTTACGGAGCTCATGGTAGGTAAGACATACTGTATCATCCCATCATGGTTCTGGAATCCTGAAGATGGTCTGGATTCTCGATCATAGGTGATAAAGAGAACCTAGGTTACTCGATGGAAAGATAAGCCTACGGGCCGGGATGCAGACAGCAGGGTTGAGAAGCTAAAGGAGGAAGCTATGTACATCCATAAAGGAATCAACAAGTGACAACCAACTCCATAACCGAAAAGACAGGAGAACCGAAAGCATGCTTAAGTTGGTTGACTGACGGCAGAGAGAAGAAGAACAAGGTAGTAAAGCAAGGTACATACGTCAGCGAAGGATTGGAGGCGAAGACAGTTCTTTGTTCAACCCAACGCCAGGGGCAGAAAAGAAGAAATGAAAGCCGACTGGACCTTTCAACATCGACTACCACGTAAAGCTCTCTTCCACGAAGTCAACATTCGTCTGGTCCTGTCTTTTACGGCACACGCGACGAACATCGTCACTCAAG